GTAACGATTGCATTGCAATTGCTTGACCCACATGTCATAAACAATAAAATATATTAAAACATATACGCGGCATATGGGGAAAGCAGCCATTTAAAGCAGGACAACAACCGGGCCGAACAATGGCCAATGCAGCCAATGCAGCCGATGCAGCCAATGCTCCACGGGGGCCGAGCAATTCGCTGAAAATTTAAACAAATTTTTCCACATTTCCTGTTGCCCCTTTTGTTGTTGTTGTTGCTGTCTTTTCTGTTGTGCTGTGTTGCGCCTCGCTCGCGTTGCACTTGCAGCTTGACACAGTTTTTAACCACACCCATTTATTTGCAATGTCAACGAGGCTGCACAAACTAACGAAAAAAACTTGTGTGAGAACATTTTAGTCGGCAGTGCTTAACTAGCTGACACGCTGTAACGCGGATCAAAATCAGCGTAAGCCCCTTATCGGGCAAAAACTTTATGCTTTACACCCATTTTCCACCCATCAATGTGGATTAAAGGAATTTGCTTTAGCTCGCAGCTATTCACTATTATGGCAGAGCTTTAAAAATATGCTTTGAGTTAGTTGAAAAATGAAATGAATCGGGAGAAATGTAAAAATATTCTAGCGCAATAAATTTTTTATAAATAATTGAAAAATTTTTATTAAACAAAAGCGGATTATGCAGAAAGGCTTATGCATTTTTCTACTTTTTCAATTTGAATTATAATTTTAAAAGGAACGTATAAAAATGTTTAGAATATGTTAATGGAGGTTTTAGTTGGTAATATTTGTTTTCCAATTGGAGACCAATTGGATATACAAAGCAACACATTACGATTAAACTCATTTTCCACTTTTGCAAGTGAAAAACTTTCCTAGCACTTACAGTCAGATTTTTCACCTTTGCATGTAAAACTTTTGAAAACCCGGAAAGATTCTGCAGATAATTTTTCTAGTTTTTGCAGTCATACTTAGGATTCCACTCATTTTCCACTTTTGCAAGTGAAAAATTTGAAAAACCCCGGAAACATCTGCAGACAACTTTTCTAGCATTTACAGTCAGTCTTTAGTATTCCACTCATTTTCCACCTATATTTATTTAGGTGTCATCGAATTTTTCAATCGTTTGTAGCCGTTTTGCATATAATGAAAACTACAGGGTATAGAAAATGTTCATTTGCACTTTGTTAGAGCCTACTGCTAATGGCCAGCACATGCTGTAGGCCATGAAATTTGCATGTTATTTTGAATAGTGACAAGGAGAAGAAGAAGAAGAAGAAGAAGCAGCAGTAGATAGCAGAGTAGGCCATGTATTTATGATGTGACCAAATCCGGAGCTGCTTGTGGCGCGACCTTGTGGCAAGGACCTTGAACCCGAGCCGCAACTAATTCAACAGAGGGCACGCCCCTTTGCTGTCGTTGCGATATTTCTGTGCCCATTTCTGTGCGGCTAATTAGCAATGGGCATGGGCGTGGTCACTGGGGATTCTAAAATTAATTTCAAGCGAGCCAATTTAAGCCGAACTTGAGCTATTTTTCCTCATGTGATTTTATTGGGTTTTAATTTCCGCTCTTTTGCCGCCTTCGAGTTGCGTATCAATTCATGTGGAGCAACCGCAAAAGCGTGTGTGAAAATTGAAATGTCAACTCTGGCAAGCCGACTTCCCATACCCTGCCTCGTTCTCTCTCTATCTATCTCTCTCTCTCTTTCTCGCTTGGCAGCAATCCCTGGCTGCAGTCAGTGCAAGCCATGTCGTGGTTCGCTTTTGCTGCCTGTCTCTGGCGTTGACAGTCATTGACAGCGACGAGGACGAGGACGGGGACCATGTTGAGCGGCTCCTGCCGGGGGGAATTGTGCTATGTAGAGAGTGAAGGGGACGGGGGGGGTGGGGTGGGGGAGGTTTGCTACTCGCATTGCATGCAGGCAATGTTGCATGCCGGGCTGCACTTAATGCTGACTCAACGCTACACAAGTTCTTATTTGCCAGACGACTTGGCTTTAGCTCGGCCTTAGCCCCGAGCCCTCCCAGACCCTTAGCCCCGCCGATCCCCTCCCCCCCCCCCCTGACTTGGCCATGTTTCGATACTCTCGCTTGGCATGACAACGTGCGGTACTTAATTTGTGCCCTACCTCGGACATAGCCGACACACCAACACTGTTTGTGCTGGCCTGCGGCAATTTAGGGAAATTAGAAAATTAGTTTTCCGAAACTTTGTCGGCTATTTTCAAACAATTTTTGATATTGAACAGCCTGTAAACATTTTGTGCGGCAACAAAGTTTTATCCACTTGAATTGAGAGCTTTTAACAGGTTCGAAGGACTTTAGTATAAGTCAATATTGTTTATGTAATGTTTGTTAGTCAATTAGGTAATTGTGTTCTAGACAGATAGCAGCAATAGATAATAGGATATAGATAGTAGATAATTGATAATATATTATGTATATTATAATATATTTAAGAACAGGTTTGACCGAAGCAAACTAATTCCTCGTTTCGTTAAGGCATCTATAATATTGAATATTATTTTACTTCTTTTTTGATGGTTCAAATCTTCATGAATTTTTTTCTTTCATTTATTGCTTTAGCTTCAAAAGCAATCTATGACTAAACGAACAAATAAATGCATTTTTTTCTGTGAACAATAACAAACTCAAGAAATAAATAAAACAATCGAAAGTTTTTGCATGATTTGAAACGGCGACTTGCTGCTTGCTAGTTCAACGCTCAGACATCAAGGCCACGCTGGCTTTTTATGCAAACTGTAATCGTTTTCCATCCTTTCCTTAGTTCTTAATCTTCTTTCTTTCTTAACCCAAAACAAAGCTCTAGTCAAAATATTAACTTTTACCATTTGGACTGCGGGACAAACTCTTATTATATATTCACATACAACTTAAGCGTATTCACAATTCGTTTCGATCTCACTTTTGTCTAAGTACTCCTTTTTTCTTTTAAGCCAGCTACTTGCGCTGTCTTTTATCTGCCCGACGTCGCGCCCCGCACCCCGCGCCCTGCTTCGCCCCTTCCCCCGTGCCGCACTTCACTTAGTTGTTGGCCGCAAAAATCTTTAGCTGCTTTTTAGCACAAATCCTTTTTTGTAGTTTAAAACGCTTTCGACAGGATTTAGTTGCATGACTTTTAGCTTTTAACATTTTGCTAGCCAACATTTCAAGTGATGGTGGTCAGTTTTGCACCCTCCCCTCCCCCCCTGCCCCGCCGCCCCCTTCGACTCGCCCGCGCCGCCGTCGACCCAGTGAACTGCTGACTGGCCCAAAGCTGTGCGCTGTGATCCCGTTTCTGTTTCTGCTCCAGACACGTAGCTGCATGGCCAAACGTGCGCGGCATTCTCAAATACAACTACATGGCCGCATTTTGTAGTTGCCACCCACTTACTTAGCAGACCCCCCCCCCCCCCCCCTTGACCAGCCACTAACTGCCTTAGCCCTTCACTTGGCATAAATTGTGTTTTAGTTTTATTTTCATTGCGATCGCATCTTTATTTGACGGTTACAATTTGTAGCGCTCCATTTGGGAACGAGTTAAGATCGGAGCAGAACTCTGCTGCTGCTTGGAAAATAGCTATTATATAGCTAGCCTAATTGTTAACCCGTCGACGAAAAGTAACCCATTTAGAGCCTGGAAACTGCCGCGCTTTGTTTGCGGTAAAACTTTTTATATACCCCGAAGCCATTAAAAGTGATTGCAAGGGGTAGATTAGTTTTGTTAGAGCAGGCAAATGGAAGCATCTCCGACTCTTGTTCTGGTTGAAGAGCAGAGTTGATCTAGTCTAGCCCGTCTATTTGGCTAAATAAAGGAAGATCTGGGAAACTTAAGAAGCTTCAGGCTTGTCGTATATAATAAATATATATATATGGATACATATTCTGCTGTACCTTCTGTGAAATCTCTTCCTTATTTTAAATATAATACCGATAAATATCGGTTTTAGGACCTGGACTTTTATGCATAGCTCGCGGATTGTAAGAGCCACAAAAGCTACAGGCTTGAAGCATAAAATTTATTTGTTCTCCTATACTTAATGTACGGCAAAGCTTAATTTGTATTCGATTTCTCTATTAATTTCATTATATATCGATAAATATCGATTACTTAAGGATAACTCGCAGAATGTAAAAGCTTCAATCCTGAAGCTTAGAATATATATATTTTCCTATACCTTAGCAGAACAAGTCCTTATATTTGTCCGATATCTCTTCTTAATTTCATAATATGGATGAATATCGATTTTAAAATAGCTCGAAGATTATGATAGCTAGATATACAAAATATGGTATGTAGGTTCTTGTTGAGTATACATAGATTTCGAATATTTAACTTTTTTGATACCTTCCCCTAATCTCATTTAAAAAGCTAAAGCCATGGCCAAGAAGCTTATCAACTACTATCTGTGTGTGTGTGTGTGTGTTTGTGCTTGTGTGTGTGTGTGTATATAAGAAGGAAGCTAAAATGTTTGGATTGAGGCTAGTTCCTAGTCGAGCACTCCCGACTAGAGCAGCTCGCAGTTGTTTTTTTTTTTGTGATTTTTGTTCCCAGCTCTGTTAATTCGGTCAATATTTGCGGACGCACGAAATAAAAATGGAAAACTCAGCGGAAAAGTTTTCGCAGCGCTGTCGCCACGGCGACCAAGTTAAAGAAAAATAATGTAAAAAAAAATCTATTTAACCCCTTAATGGCGCTTGGGGTAAAGTTTTGTGTGTTATTTTTCTACAATGTGGTCTGTGGTTTGTTTTTTGGAGAACGTGGGCTAGCGTCAAACTTTTCAGCTGTTTGTAAAGGCCGTCGACTAGGGCAATATATATATACATATATACAAGCTTTTTATATATATTTTATAAATATATTTTGTATTTTTACATGCAACAGTTGTGACAGCTGCAAAGTGAAAACCGCTTTGGGCCAAATATGTGTATGCATATTTGATTATTATTATTATTTTCGTGTATTAATATTTATTTTTAATTCTGCGTTAATTACACGTCGAGTTGTTTGCACAATTTACCTGCTGTTTAGTTTGCCTGCCACGCTCCAGTTCTTCAGCTCCGAGAGTTTAGTTCTGCAAAAATAAAGCAAACGAAAATATTTCTGCTTTATTCTCATTTCTGTTGCTTGCATATTTATATCTGTGCCCACTTGTTGTTGTTATTGTTTAGATTCGGCTCGCAAGTGCCTAACGTTAATTAGCCCGAGCTGAGCTTAAGCGTTTCTGCAGTTTAATTAGGCTGCTCGAGAAGAACTCAAACAGGGGCTGGATTAACATAAAGCGAGCGTAAAAATAAGCATTAAATTCACTTTAATTGTTGGACTAATAAACTAAATTTAAAGTGTTCCTAATTTTTATACCCTGAACCCATTGAAAATAGCTAAAAAGGGTATTATGTATTTGGGCAAATGTATGTAACAAGCAGATGGAAGCTTCTCTGACCACATAAAGTATATATATTCCTGATCAGCATCAACAGCCGAGTCGATCTAGCCATGTTCGTTCGTCTGTCCCTCTGTTCGTATGTATGAACGCAAGGATCTCAGAACCTATAAGAGCTAGACAAATTTTAGCTGTAGGTCCTCCTAGTCCCCGCACAGATCGAGTTTGTTTCCGATATTCGATAACTTGTCCCGTTTCCAAGAAATCAATAAAAATCGATATCGAAATCCTGTTTTTTTAGCAATTTTGGTAAATAATAAGACCTAAGGTCACCAAACTTGACAAGTAGCTTCTAGAATAGTATATATATCAAGTATTTGTCCGTTTATACCTATCGCCTGTTGAAAGAAGAGGATTCAGGGTATCCCCTAGTCGGCAGCTCCCGATTAGCACCTCTTACTTGTCTAAATTTATTCGCTTGAGCTTCAGCTAAAACTAGAGCTACCTTTTTTCGTTTCCTTGTTTAAGTCAACATTTTATAATTTAGTTTAGTATTTTTACCTTTTACTTATAATATTGCTAATTCCCCCCCTTATTAAGCTGCCTTCTCTTCGCCCTGCAGTTAATCAAAGCCAGGCTTAAAGGCAACTTTTCAGCTTGCCGGCCACAACTGCAAACAGCTGACCATAAATAATCAAATCTTAAACGCAATCTGCAAACAGATTTTGCGTTTCTAATAAATTTCACTTTGCCAGCGACCAAAAAGCCGGCCAAAGAAAGTATATTTACTTTAGTATATATACTACGCAATATACATAGATATTCAACAAAAAAGAAGATTGGCCGTGAAGGCTGCGCAAGTTAGGCAAAAGCTTTTTGCCAGACAAGAAAATATAAAAATTTATATTTATATTTATGTCATGACGATATATATATACGCTTTATAACAGATTGGGCTGCCGGGCCATTTAACGATAGTACAAACTATGACAAAGAAACGAATATACTTTTATATATATGTGTGATGTGAGGCGGAGGCAGGCGGCGATAAGAGCGAGAGAAGAGCGACAACAAATTATGGCTCACTGATTTCATAAGCGATTTCTTGTGCCCTAACAGAGGGTACCTTAATTTACTGATGAATTGTGTAAAATGTGGAAGATGACTTAGCTGAGCGTCGGACTAATAAATGGCAGCTTGCTGGTTCAATGTTCATAGTTGAAATGCGAGATGCAGAGCGAGCACGAAGTTTGGAAATCGATTTAAATAAGAATTTTTAATATTAATATTTATTTCATTTTTATATCTGTTAGTCCCAAAGAAACAAACAGTCCACAAATAAAGCTTTTGTGTAAGCTCACTTTTTGGTATTTATTTTTTTATTTTATTATTGTTTTATTGGGTATGCCAGGAATCGTACTATTAGGTATTACAGATATATAGCTGCCATATGCCTGCAAGGGTATTGAATCTTCGGCCAAGTAAAGAAACCTCAGCTTGATTTTTTTGAGCTTCCTTTGGGTGTTTCTCATGTGGTCTGTTGTCAAGGACCTTGGCTGCTCGCATATGCGGTGTGAAAATGTGGTTAGAAGTCAATAACATAATAAAAACGTCGAGGTTTTTGGCTTGTTGAAGGTCGCACGCATCGGGGGCACAGCTGCTGGGCTGGAACGCCGCCCAGAGATTGTCTGGGCCGAAACAGCGAAATTGGAGAATTTCCATCTATTTTTCTCGCTGTGCCTAAGGCCGGCTGGCCGGCTGGCTGGCTGATGGGCTGTTCGTTACGTGTAACGTGCAGGAACAATGCGAACACAAAACTTTCATTGCATAACAATAGGCGCAATGGCGTGCCACAAGCAGCATTTAAATATAAATACCTGCAGCCCGAGCAGAAAACAACCGCCAGCAAAGCCGCCGCTGGCTAAAAAGTGAAAACTTTTCTGCGTTTTACAGGCTATTTCCTCCCCTTCCACTCTCTCGTTTTCTCCGCGTGCTCGTTGGCACGTAAAAGAAAAAGTGCAGGTGGCTTTTGGTGGATCCGCGCTGGCCAGCAGAATAAATAAACCTTAACTTTTTGCTCGCCGCAGCGAGCACAAAAAATACCAAAAAAAAAAAACAACAACAGAAATAAATAAAACAAGGAAAACACAAAAATCTAGGAAAAATATCTAGAAACCTGCAACAATAACAAAAAAAAAAACGGGCACAAAATTTCCAAATAAAAAGCGAACCAGAAAAAAATAATAAACAAAAAAAAAAAAAACAAGAAAAGTTTTATTTATTATTTTGGTTGCAGGCAAAGCGTGAAAAATTTGTTAAGCTTAAAATTGTGTGTTTTTTTCAGCTTTTGTTTTTTATGGTTTCAAGGTACCAAATCATTGCGAACAAATACATACAAGCTGTTATTTACAGCAGGGGCAGGGGGGAAGGGCAGTGGGTAGGGGGGGGGGGGGAGAGCTGAACCGTAGCAGTTCAGGTTGAGCGCAGTGCTTAGGGTATAAAGAGGCAAAAATTGGGTCAAAACAGAACAATGCAACAAAGAGCCGCAGCTAAGAAATGGATTTGCAAAAAATAACCAGCTCGAATATTGCTGCGTTCGTTAAATGCAAACATAAATTTGTTAATGACAAACTTTGTTGCGTAAAAGCAGAGCGAATTTTCAATGCATCAAAATTAAAGTGTCGAAAACAATTTTTGTGAAAAAATATGCTGGCAAATTGGATTTGTTGGCAGCTTTTTTTTTACTTGTGAACTGTGTAGCGTATAGAAGGAGACATCTCCGACCCTATAAGGTATATATATTCTAGATCAGCATCAACATCCAGGTTGAGTTAGCCTTGTCCGTCCGTCCGTCTAGCGGTATCTATCCGAACTAGTCTCTCTATTGTCTTGTAACTCTGCATAGGTTCGACCTTCTGCTGCAGGCTATACATATCTCGGAACCTTACGGATCGGACAACTATATCATATAGCTGCCATAGCAACGATTGGTCGAAAAGTAGGTTCTTGTACGAAATACTTGTTTATTTAACAAGATATCATAAACTCTTAAACTGAAACTCGGCAAGAATATGTTTAATTATGCTCCTCATTTATATGACATATCTTATCAGCCTCGGATTTGTATATCATATAGCTGACATACGGGTAGTTAGTTGTAATCTTTTTTCTTTTATGGAAAAATGGTCCGTTTTCCAAGATATTTTCATCAAACTCAGCATTTAAGAGCCGCACAATTCTCACATAACTGCCAAAGGCAACTGTCTACAAGGGTATTAAATCTTCGACGTTTAATTCGTTTAAAGCAAGCCTATTTTCTTATGCAAATTATTTTTATTTGTTTTATTTGCATTTCTTTATGACTAGGCTTTGTGACGAAAGAAGAAAGAAACGAACACATTTAATTCCATCTATTTAGCTACAGTTCTATATTCTATATAAAATAAGTATATGGTAATTAAAGTTGAAAATAACTTTATAATAACTTGAATATATTTTCTGTTTAAAATACTTTGTGAATTTTTTAAATATTATAAAATTATTCAACACTCATGTTCTTTTATTTTAATAACGTTTGTTGCTCTTAGCAACAATTTATGTTTGGTTTTTAATTTCTCATCATCATAATTATGTTCCCCTCGATGTGCCCATCAATTACTTTGTAACTATGCCAACCCCAGCTCCTCCCCCTCCTCCTCGCAGCTGTCTCGTTAAATTTCTGCCCCTTGACTCGCAGTCAGTCAACCTGTATTTCCTCATTATTTATACCCTTCAGTTTCGCTACCTTTTGCCTTGTTGTGATGGGCCACAAAATAATTGCCTACTTTTCAGGGCGCGAGTCGCACAAAACTTCATTTGAATGCAGCGATTTCCCCGTGGGAGCAAATTTCGTTGCCGCCAGCTCTATATATATTCTTTTCTCTTGCCTTCTCCAGCCGCTCTTTTATTTTTGCAAAATTATACAAATTAATTTGGGAGCGACAATTGCGGAGTTTTTGAGCGCCCCCGCCACGCCCCACGCCCAACGCGTTGTCTGCACTCGTGTATTGCTGTGCCCATTTCGCGGGCAGCGCATTAATTATGCTCAAGTGTCCGCTGGGAATGTGGCCAACACTTGTTATGTAATGACTTTTGTAGCGCTGCCTGGCTCGAGAGGGGCCAAGAGAGAGCGGGGAGGGAGGGGATCGCAGGAAGGAGGCTTTTTGTCATCAAGCTTCTGATTTGATTCTGCAAACGGGGTTTGACTGTCTACGGGGAATTCAGCGAATAGGTTTAACGTGTAAGCGCTGCAGTTTAAAGTGAGAGAGAGAGGGAGAGAGAGAGAGTGAGAGAGTGAGGGAGGGAGGCGAAAGCCGTTCGCTAAATAAAACTAAAGCGTTCGCTGGCAACCGTGGTAAAAATTTATCGGCCCAACAGCTGCACGGCAATATATCACAGATTTATGTCAGCATCATGAAAAAAGCACACGCAGATATAGAAATAAATACACACACACACACACAGACAGACTCCGCCAAAGACTATGAACAAACTATAAAAACACAGCGAAAGTAAATAAAGTGAGCAGCAAAAAAAAAACAGAAAAGAAAAGAAAACAAGGCCAAAACAGGAAAAACAACAAATGAAAACGTTTTTTGCGAAATCGAGCCAAAAGCGGAAACGAAAATGTTAAAGCTCAAAAGCAGAGAAAAGCATAAAAACAATAAAAATGGAAATACAAATTCGTGACTTGTT